CTCCGGTTTCCCCCACAGTCAAAAGTCATGTGGTATAGGTGAAATAAATAAGCTAAATTGGCCGTAGTGTATGAGTTTGGGTTTCTTAGTGTTGAGTTGTGGCTGGAAGGGCATCCGCTGCGTAAAACATGTGCTGGGTCAGTTGGCGGGTTATTCTGCTGGGGCAACCCCTGATTAATAAAGGGACTAAGCCAAAAAGAAAATGAATGTATGAATTAATGAATAAATGAATTAATCAATGAATGATACAGTATTAATGCGAGCATAGGTGCATGTGGGCTGTTTATAATATACAAGCTAAAAGAAGACTAGCTCCAAAGTTTTGCCATAACAAACAAACACAAAGCAAAAAGGTTGCTGGTTTGAGTCCTGGCTAGGCCAGTTGGCATTTCTGTGTGAAGTTTGCATGTTCTCCCTGTGTTGGTTTCCTCTGGTTTCCCTCACAGTCCAAAGACATGCAATATTAGAGAATTGTAAAAATTATATCGGCTGTGTAATACAGCGTGTGTGTGTGTTTCCAGTAATGGGTATGCTGCTAAACCATATGCCGGAATAGTTGTCTGATTATTTTGCTGTGGCAATCCCTAAAAAATCAGGGACTAAGCCAAAGGAAAATGAATGAATGAATGAATGAATGGTTCTGACAGTGACCCATATGTGACAGTACAAACTCAGGATGAAGTCTGATACACACAACCGAGAGTGGACCTACTATGCATGCAAGAGCTTTGAGCCAAAACAGCCATAGAGAAAAATCAAACACTGGCTCATTGTAAAAATGGACCCCTGTATAAATCTCTAGATGCCGAAAGCTTCTGTTTCTGTTCACGCTACCAGCTGACAGGGCCGGATTAACCAATGGGCATTATGGGCACAGGCCCAGGGGCCCGTGCGCACTTGTCTATTTAGTCTCAATGGAAATAGTGCACCTCGTTGGAATAAGCTAATTGACTGATTCCCGGCCATCACCGTTTCATTGACAGAGACTACACTAAAAAGCGTGACAGTGGCGTAGTTCGTAAAATGCATGGCAACTTGTATTGACGCGATCATGAACCTGGTTCGAATCCAGCGTCTGATAAACTAATTTTTCTTTCCCACCCTACTACATATCAGATTTTGCCTAGTCTTCATCATGAGGAAGACAAGTAGGAATCATTAATAAGTGTATGTATTATAGAAGACTCAGATATGTAGAACTGTATTGGTGAGGTGTTATATCCAAACCATATGCAATATAAGTTTGTAGAAGTTATACATTAAAAATACCCTTAAATATAATTTTTGTACTGCTTCAGTGAACTTGAACATATATATTAAAATCCATTAAATTTCACTATTTGTATTTGTCTCGTTTTAGCGTGATCAAAACAAGAAACAAAAAGGTGCGGATCCAAGTGCAGATTATTTATTTACAGTGCAACCAACAAGGTGATAAGAATACAAAGTAACAAATAAACGACAAAACCAGAAACTAAATCAGAGACGAGGCTCAGGAAAAACAAACTCAAACAACTAAACCTAATTAGAAAACAGACTAGACAAATGACACACGAACTAGACTAATGCAAAATACAAGAACAGGATCAGAATAACAAACTCGGAATCTTAGACTTACTCGATACTCGGACAAGGAAGACAAACGACGCGATGCAAGACAGAAGTGGAATGGTGTTATAAATAGTCCAGATCAGGGGTTTTCAAAGTGTGAGGCGCGCCTCCCCAGGGGGGCGCCAGAGCATGTCAGGGGAGGCGCGGGAAAAAATATTATATAATAAAAATATAATTATTAAGTTTAATTATTATATGTATTTTAATATATTTAAACGTTTTAATTAAACAAAGCTAAAAAAAATAATATGTCAAAAATAAGAATACCTTTTTTACCCAGAAGGCCATAGCTGTGAGTTCGCTTCTGTTTGGCAAGCCCGCCAATACAGATATAACGTTATGCCTTCTAATAAAATGGATCGGTTTCTGAGACCCCCCGATTCAAAACCTTCAAGTTCAGTGCTTAAACCCAAGAGACGACGATATGACGATCAGTATTTGAGTTTGGGATTTACATGGACAGGACCAGCTGATGAACCACGACCTTTATGTGTGGTTTGTCAAGATATTTTGGCTAATGACAGCATGAGACCCGCTAAACTTCGGCGACACCTTGAGACCAAGCATGATGAGGTAGCAGGAAAACCTCCAGATTTTTTCAAGAGAAAACTTTAAACCCTTCAAGGTCAGAAAGAAATTGTGGAAGATTTTGTCAAATTAAATGGAAAGGCCACTGAAGCTTCATATCACGTTGCATTGCGTATTGCCAAGGCAGGCAAAGCACATACCACCGGGGAGACGTTAATTCTGCCGGCAGCTAAAGACATTTGTTCTGTGATGCTAGGAGAGGCAGCGGCTTCTAAGATCGATTCTGTCCCACTCTCTGACAACACAATAAGTCGGCGCATCTCAGATATTGCACAGGATGTGAAGGAACAAGCTTTAGACAGCGTCAGACACAGCCCATTTTTTGCACTCCAGATCGACGAATCCACAGATGTGGCCAGCTGCGCTCAGCTGTTAACATATGTGCGGTACGTGAAAAACATGGACATTCACGAAGAGTTTCTATTTAGTAGTCCTTTGCCCACCCACACAACAGGTGAACAAATTTTTAACCAGCTGAACGAATTTGTGAGAAAGAAAGATGTAGAGTGGGAACGCTGCTGTGGCATATGCAGCGATGGGGCAAAATCAATGACGGGCCGCCACAGTGGTCTCATATCGAGAGTTAAAGAGGTAGCTCCGAATGCCATATGGACCCACTGCACTATTCATAGACAAGCCTTAGCTGCCAAGAAGATGCCAAATGATCTTCGGAGTGTCCTCGACGAAGCTGTGAAAATTATTAACCTGATAAAAGCACAACCTCTAAATGCTCGTCTTTTCCACATTTTATGCGATGAATTGGGAGCGCATTACAAACAGCTGCTTTTGCACACCGAAGTCCGCTGGCTGTCTCGGGGCAGAGTTCTATCACGACTTTTTGATTTGCGCGAGGAAGTATTTCTGTCAAATGTGCAATCCACTCTGGTGCAGCACATGAGTGATTTGAGCTGGATCGCAAGGTTGGCTTATTTGTCGGACATATTCGAACGCCTCAACGCGCTTAATTTATCATTGCAGGGCAGAGACTGCAATGTGTTTTCGGCATTTGAGCAAGTTTCCTCGTTCCGGAGAAAGCTGGATCTATGGGCCACTCGTGTGGGGAAAGGATGCTTAGACATGTTTCCCACGCTGGCTGACTTTATGCAAGAGGCAGGGTCAGTGGTTCATATTCAACCTTTGGTCGCTGAACACCTAAGGGGGCTGTGTCAGCAATTCACACACTACTTTTCCAACGAGACAATCCAGGATGAGTGGATTCGCAATCCATTCAAGTTCAAGCCAGCAGAAAGTGACGTACTGTCTATCCAAGACGAAGAGGCTTTGATTGATCTGACTAGTAATCATGAACTGCAGCAAATGATTACACACTCTTCCATTGAACATTTCTGGCTCTCCGTTCAAAATGAATTTCCTGAACTTACACAAAAAGCACTGAGGAAACTTTTACCATTCGTTTCAACGTATTTGTGCGAACCAGAATTTTCTGCTTTGACTTTCATCAAGAACAAATATCGTTCACGTCTTCAAGTGGAGGATGACCTTCGTCTCTTTCTGACGTCACTACAACCACGAATTAGTCTTCTCTGTGCAGCAAGGAAACAACTGCATACTACCCACTAAGGTAGGAATATAATTATGTAAGCATATTAATCAATAGTAGAGATATTTAAATTTTGGCATTGTTTAAAGTTCTTTCCCCACTCTGTTACAGATCATCTGACTGTTTTGACTGGGATGGACAGTTCTTGGATCAGTTCTATTCATATTGAACCATCATCCTAGTTTTAAAAACATATTAAAATACTTGTTATTACTCTGTAAATAATTGCACTTTCATTCAAATGATGATAAAAGTGAGTTAACAGTCTGACATCTGTCTGTGTCTTTATATATACTGTATATATATATATATATATATATATATATATATATATATATATATATATATATATATATGTGTGTGTGTGTGTGTGTGTGTGCGTGCGTGCGTGCGTGCGTGTGTGCGTGCGTATTTGGGAGGAGGGGGGCGCCAATGGATAAGTTGTGTCAAAAGGGAGGCCCACTGTCTAAGACTTTGAAAAACCCTGGTCCAGATAATTAACGGTAACACAAAACAGATGAGATGACAGGTCAGTGTATGTGTTCCGGTGTATGCGCGTGGTATGTATGAGAATGTAGTTTTTCTGGGATGCTGTAGTGCTAACTGAGTCCTGATGCACTACAGCGCCCTCAGGTGGTCACTGATGTATGTGACAGTATTAGTATTTTTTTTTCAAAGTGTGCTTTAAATGCTTTAAAAATTTGTTAAACCTAGACTTGAAATATATGTACTGTAAATAATTTACTTTAAAAATGCGGGCAATACATTATAGGTCAATTTTATTTAAAAAATATTATGTTGATCTTATTTTTTAATTTAACAATAGGGGTGCGACCAGGTAGGGGGCCTCTGAATTCTTAATCAGGGCCTGCTAGCTGTCCACTTACCTCCGTGTTGATGGCTTTTCCACTGTTACCAGTTTGTCCAGTAGTTCCCCATGTATGACGGTGAACTTAAGACGCAGAGATGACTTGACTGTGACTGGTGACAGAAACATCGTCTGATTCATGAACCTTGGACACATTATCAGTCTCTTGCAACAGACACCCTCCTCCAGGCAACCTGACCAAGGCTGATCAGACCCCGGCCTGTGTCCAAGTGGCATGCTACTGCACCCACCGTTCCCCCCTCTTCAACCAGAGCCATCTGGATGCTTTCTCCGATGCCTCCACGTTGTTACTTATGGCTTTTCTTTGGTGTGTGCCTGTTATTTATTATATTATTATTATATTCTATTGTTCTATTCTATTGTTATTATATTATTTAAGTGTATCATAGGCCTTGCTCAGGGTGCAGCTCGCAAATCCCCTACTGCCCACTTTCACTGGCATGCACCTGGTTCTCCATCCATTTGTCTGACACTGCTCCACTCTTGGTGTTTTCCCTTCTTCCCCTCCTGAGCCTTCATCATCCTCTCCTCCCAGGGCACAGTTAGCTCCAGCAGGAATAATTGCCTTGTGGCCACAGAGACTAAGATTATGTCAGGTCTCAATGTAGACGGGGTGATGTGTGGTGGAATCCTTAACTGACATCACCCAGTCTCAGGCCGTGGAGAGCAACCCAGCAGTACAGCTCTTTGCTGTTCTTTCTGGCCTTTGTCCTTCCTTGATGAACTGAATGACCCTGGGTGTGGCTTGGCGGTATCAGCTGTCCTTGATCCCCTTGCTGATTGCCTCAGCTTTAGATTTAAGACCTGATTGTGTCTCCATAGATACCGATCTTCACCTAGTGCCTTGGAGCAGCTGCTCAAGATATGCTCTAGTGTCCTTGGCTTGAAACACAGCGGATATGCAGGTGTCTCTACTCTGTCCCCTATGTACAGGTTCGATGGGCTGGGAAGAATGTCGTAGACCCCTTGGATCAAGAACCTAATTCTCAGGGGGTTCCATGTCCAGATGTCCTTCCATGTGACATTCCACTCCATCGTCTGCTCCCACTTCATCCAAGCACCTTGCTGCCGCATGGCCACTGCTCTGCTGGTTCTCTCCTCCTCAACTGAAGCAAACACCTCCTTCTGCACCAGACTCTGCCTCTCCCTCCTGCTGGCCAAGTCGTACCAGGTTGCTGCTAGGCTCTTAAGTCCAGCTCTTCCTTGTGCTACTGCCTCCAGGTTGGCCTTGTGCTTTAGCTGGGTTTCCGTTTGTTCGACTGCCTCTGCTGCTCTCCACTTTCTCCCTGTCCTGGCGACAATCCCTGCCCCGGATATTTTCGAATCTCTGGATCCAGAATACTGCAGAAGTTCCCATGTTCGTGCCACAAGGAACTCCTCCCTGACTGAACCAAAAGGAAGTGTAAGCTTGTTTATGTTTCCATACAGAGTGATGTTACTTAGGCTGCATGGTAATCCCACCCATCTGCGTAGATAGCTGCTCACCTTTTGCTCAAAACCTTAAAACCACAATAATGGGGATTCCATACATTAGCAAGGGCCAGAGGAGTCTTGGGAGGATTCCATGTTGGTATATCCAAGCCTTAAATTTTTCAGGGAGCCCTGATTTTCCACACTGAGCAAGGAGATGACCCGAAACTGGTTGATATTCTCAGACTTCTCCTCTTTTGGGATGTACACTTCCTCCTGATACCTCCATGGCTGGCCTATCTTCCCTCTTCTCCAGATGATTATCAGAGCCTTCCAGAGCCTGTGTAGAAGATTTTGGCAGTTCTTATATACCTTGTAAGGCATTTCACTCGGGCCTGGTCCTGAGCTTGACCTTGCTCTCCTCACTACTTCACTGCGGCAGGGTTCCTTCAGGTTGAACTCTGATGTGGGCTCAGGTGGTGTCAGCAGTGCATTGCAAGGCCCTAACGGTCGTTCTCTGTTCAGGTCAGAATAAGTGGCCACTCCGATGGAGTGGGTTTGGGTGTCACAGTTCTGAATTGCTCAGCTGCAATGTTCACTATGGGTGTGGTCATTGTTAACAGTCGCTGGTCCACACCCCCCTTGCCTGTCACTTCCAGGATCTAATTCACGTCCTTGTCGAACTGGAGCCACTCAGCTTTATTTGAGGAGGAACAAAGGAACGCAGTGAGTTATTGTAACTGCCACTTGCTAACTTTGGGGGCTTTGTAGACTATAATGAGCTGCTGTCACTTTTAGGGCAGCTTTAAGTGGCAGGCGAGCGGCACAAAGCGACACTAAGAGGCTCTAGGCACTGTGGGTTGCCTCTGGGCCTGGCGCCTCCTGCGTCTTACCAAAAGTTGTAACTTCTGCATGATGTGTCGTCGTCTGTCTCTTCTGCTTTCAGGCATCTCATCCTGCTTTGAAGGATTCCCCTCTCATTCTTGTAGCTCTTGCCGCAGATGCACTGTACTGTTGTTGTTCTGTTGTCCTGTATCGTTGTTCTCAGGTCCGTCCTATTGGGGTGCTTAACCCCCTCGGGCACCGCTGGGGGTATCTTTCCTTTGTAGGTTTTGTAGCTTGCTTTGGGTTTCTTCTCACAGAAGAAGTTGTTTGGGGACTGCCAACCCTCTACACCCCGAGTTGCCATCTTTCCGGCAGTCATCTGTCTCTCCAGCTGTCACCATACTCTTCATGGTCGTCTCCCAGTCTGTTCCTGGTTGTCACTGCTGCTCCTAGAATTTTCTGTTACAGAAAAATCTTCTGATACACAAACCTTGGGCACATCATCAGTGTTGTTTTCTTGGACTCACGGTGTGTTTCAGGTCTTGCAACAGACACCCTCCTCCAGGTGACCAGACCGAGGCTAATCAGACCCTGCTCTGTGTCCAAGTAGCCTGCTACTGGGACCACCGTTCCATGTTGTTGGGACACAGTGTTACAATGCATGCTGCTCAGCTAATGGTTACGTTTGTAATATTTATAATATTTGCTAATTAAAAACCACCTAATGTGATTTTTAAACTCTGAATCTGTCTTATTTTCGAGGTTGTCTCTGTCCTCCGGTGGTCACATTTTTACTATGACTGCATACAATAAAGCAGCCTCCATTGGGATGGAACCTGTCAACATTGGGATGTGAAAAGGGATATGCCCACCATAATAAGGGATTCCCCTGACCCCCCCTTTAAAAAATCCTCAAATAACTAAATTTGCTCTTTTGGAGCTGTTTCATTGTAAATAAACAGTTAAATGGTCAGTAACAAGTTTTTTTTATATTATTATTATTATTATTATTATTATTAACAAAAAACAAAATAAGTAGTATACATTAGCAGCAAATAAATTAGCAAGCAGTTTAGCTTATTAAAATTAATAGCTATTATAATGAAATAGAATCAAGGTATCAAATCCCATTAATATTTTCTTCACTGTATAACTTACACATTCTGATTAGAAGCAAAGAGTAGCATGAATGCAATGAATTAATCTCTTATTTATTTAGATTTCTTTCATTATTTCATTGCATTAAACAAGTGTCACTTTAAAACTGCACACATCTAACATTACAATGAAAGTTTTCGATTGCTTTCCCAACTTTATGCTCATTTACGATAAAATAAATTGTGTTTGAAAAAAAACCCCCACCAAGATCGACATCTTTAGATATTATTTTTATGAATAATTATGTGTATATGACTGTTTAAAAACTCACCCAAAACCCAGACCTTTGCTCCACTTCAAATCAATAGTAAAAAATCCGTTGGGGAAACAGCATCTACTTATCACTATGGAGCGCATCAGCTGACAGTCATGCACCGGTATATGATTCTTTTATTTATTGCATGTGAAGGGGAGATAGCACCTGTAATAAAAAAGAGAGAGAGAAACCCGCCGTTTTATATTTATTTCAAAGTGTTTTCATGCCTAAACAAAGTGAAAGCACAGAACAGGGGTGCGTTTCCCAAAACCATTGTTAGCCAACTAAGGTCCCAAGTTTCGTCGTCACAAACATAGTTTGTTAATTCATTTAAAACACTAACATTCAAAGTTGAATATTGAAATATGAAAAGTAAAAATGCATTAACGTTATATCTCTTAGGTGTAATTTGCTTTCAAACTATTTTTACAGTTCAGTTTTAGCAATCTATATGTTTACAATTGTGCTCCCATCACAGTGCACTTTGAAAACATTGAAGTCATTTTGAACACAGCCTCATGGCGAAAGCTATAGGTGACCTATTATTTAAAAGCGGAATTTATGTTACGTCTCAAAAGCTTGTGAAAATAAAAAAGTATGCGTTAATTCTTTTCATTTATAGAAGGCTATTTATTAAGTATCCTGTATATGACAGGGGCCTGCTGGTTAGAACCTTTTGCTGTGGTTTACAAGTGTCAAATTGTAAAAGTAGACTTTAAAAAAACAATAAATAAATAAACAATATCCTACTTAATAATAATAATAATAATAATAATAATAATATTAATAATAAATTATCATCAACATCAATTAATAATATTATTAAAGTATGATTTTTCCATTTCTAATACATAATAATTATAAAATTTTATTTCTTGATAAATCCCCTTTTTATTTATTTATGTGATTTATATCTGATATTAGAATAAATGTTAGCTTTTGTAAGTGATTTTATGTTTAAGAATAGAGTATGTCATTCTCAATAATATTTGTAAAGAAAACAAAGGCCCTATATGTGCCATATATTTCAATTAATATGGAAAGCGAGTGCATGTTTTTATCAAATCTGTTATTGGATTTTATTTTAAATGCATGTTTGTGTAAAACAATGTAATTTGCTCAAAGAAAGTATGGGGTTCTTCTCTAAAGAAGTTGTTACTTCACCCAGTTTAGAGCATCATTATGGGTGTTTTACGTTATAACTTACATGGTTCAAGCAATGGATCTGCGACAGAGAAACTATGAGTTTTGGGGAAACATTAGTCACTACATCATTCTTTTCCCAAACAATGCATCATACTATATTAGTTCAGCTGCAAGTTACGCATTATTTAGGAAACGTACCCCAGACTTGCATTTAAGAGCAAGAGGCGGCCCCTGGTGGTTCGGCGGTATGGGTAGCTTATAGGGAGTCTCAGCTCTTTAATGTTTATTTGCCACCCTTCAGAGAAAGACTGTAAAAACGGAAGAAATATGGGAAAATACCTTTACGGGAGGATAATGGGATAGAACTGTAAAATACGGGAGTATCCCAGGAAAAACGGGAGGGTTGACAGGTATTATTCCAACACGGGGTGCACATTTTCGAAGCAGAAAAACTGACTCTAGCATTTTGTCTGTGCATTCATCATGTTTCTTAAACATTTGCAGACATGTGTCATTTTTATGCCCAACTGTGGGTGAGTAAAAAAGGTGAGTACACCACATTTAAATAAAACTTTCCATGTGCTGTTATGGAAAACTGTGTACCTGAATGACTAATTCTTAATACAACTAAACAGAGAAAACTGGTATTGTGACATAAGTTAAAGGAAAACATTGATGATATGATTTAGTCAACGCAATCTCAAGGCATTTTGTAACTTTTTGATTTAGTGACTAATTCGTATGAATTTGTACAATCTAATTCGTACAATTTAGTACGATTTGCTCATCACCCAATGATGATTAGGGTTAGGGGTGGGGTTGAATGCCACGCCTCTATTTTAAAATCGTACCTTTTCCTACAACTGAACTCGTACAAATTATTTCAGAATATACTGTTCATTTTCAAAAATGTCTGGCTATACAAAGTTAGTAAGTACAATTTATTTTAATTATGCATAACAGCAGCCAGCCTAGTAATTAAATAAATGAAATTATAATATGTTGGTCACAATAAGGTAAGAATATCTGACATGTTGAATTAATTAAAAATTATGAAATCAAAAGATAATTCAATTTAATTTTAATTAACCAATTTTGTTATTTATAATTTATTCACTCCATGTTTTTCACAATACATGTCTTATATATATATATATATATATATATATATATATATATATATATATATATATATATATATATATATATATATATATATAATTAAGTTGTTTTGAACCCCATTGGCTTTTTTTTTTTCAAAAAGTTTAAACATTTTATTGTTCTGCGAAAAATGTGAATGTTGAAGGTGAGAATACAGTACATAAATAAATTAAAGGTGAGATGTTTATTCATATATGTTTGTAGATGTTTGATATTCAGTCATTAATTTTCCTTCGACTTAGTCCCTTTATTTATTAGGGGTCGCCAGAGCGCAATTATCCGCCATCTTATCCAGCATATGTTTTACAAAGCAGATGCCCTTCCTGCTGCAATCCAGCACTGAGAAACACCCATACATACACTCTCCCATTCCCACATACTTTACAGCCAATTTAGTTAATCAAATTCAACAATAGCGCATGTCTTTGGACTGTGGGGGAAACCGGAGCACCCGGAGGAAACGCACAAACACAGCGAGAGCATGCTAACTCCGCACAAAAATGCCAACTGACCCAGCCGCAGCTTGAATCAGCGACCATCTTGCTGTGAGGCGACAGTGTTAACCACTCAGCCACTGTGTCGCCCAGTGTTTGATATTGTACTACTTATCCTCACGCAGTTCCAAATCTTTATGATTTAGCATATTCTATTAGTCACAAAAGAACATATTCTGAAGAAAGCTGAAATCCTGTCGCCATTGACTTAAATAGTGGGAAAAACAAATACTACAGAAGTCAATTGTCACATGTTTCAAGCTTCCTTCAAAATATGTTATTGTGTTTAAAAGAAAGACCAATCAGGTTTGAGATAAGTAAAGGGAGAGTAAGTGGTGAGAGAATTTACATTTTTAAGGTATCCCTTTAGGAATTTTAACACATTTAACATTAAATTTAACAATTGCAAGAGTTGCAATTGCAGGTGTGTTTTTCTCTAGCCCCTTTCACACATCGATAGCAGTAAACATCCAGAGAATTTCTGTAATGACTTTACTGGTAAATAATAAACAAAAATGCTGTTCACGCAGGCAAGGATGTTCCAGAATTTTTTTCTGAAAAGATAATTTACACAGCCATTTCAAAATATCTGTAAATTGTGACATCATTATTCAGAAATGGCCTCGGAACAGCAGCGCTTGTATTTGTAAACATAGAAGAAGTCAGGCTTTTGTTGATGGTTTTACTTTTAGCTTACTTGAATCTGCAGAGACTGCGAAGTTACAGAGCTGCAGAAGTGCGAACCACAGCTAAATGTTTACACATTTGACTACATTGCAAATTCTGCGGATGAGTAAGTATTGTGAACAACTTCGATGAAAACATATGGAGGAATACTTTCGCATGAAGAGATGTACATAATATGTGCGTGTGCTGGTGCTAACTGCAGCACTTCTTTACGGGCACACACGTCAAACAGAGGGTTATCAAAAGCATTTTATCAATATCTATTTACATTGTTGGCATTAAGAAGGAACATAGAAACGTTATCTGACTAACATTCATTCATTCGTTTTCTTTTTGATTTAGTCCCTTTATTAATCTGGGCTCGCCACAGCGGAAGAACCACCAACTTATCCAGCACGTTTTACACAGTGGACATCGTTTCAGCTGCATCTGACTAACATCTTTTAGTTAAATGTGTTTGGA